CATCTCACAATTGCCCGGGGACCCGATGGAAACAAAGCAAATCCACAAGAATATCCTCTGCCCACTCATCTTATGATGAACCCACTTTGCGAATTAGAACATAATGATCATAGTACATACTTGGGCCCAGAATAGTTACTACATAGGAACCCCGTTTAGAAAAGACCCATGCATACACAAAATTATACATCATAAGTATAAGAAACCCTAGATTATAATCAACCCTATAAACCCTATAAAACCCTCAACCCTAAAACCTAAACTAAAATTCCTGGGCATCACATATTGCTGGCATAGCCCTTTGGGGCGCCTCCTGATCATGAGCGCTTCCTCCTGAGCGCTTGGATCGGCATCGGATCTCGAAACTGCAGGCCAGGCACAAATTAAAACGGTCTCCAAAACCTGAACCCCCCTAACCCCTGCCAATCTCGGGGTTCCGTCTCGAGATAAATTCGAAGTGGGGATGTCTGACATGGACGCGTGGCACAACCCCTAAACCCCCAAGCCCTAAACCCGATCATGACCATCATGTCAGCTTCTTGAAAGCCGGTGAGCCAAACAACAACGAATTATAATTATTTTACTTCGAACATCCTCACCTCATAGGGATTTGGATTTTTTTGGCCGTCCTACCCCCCCCCCCCGGCTGATGACTGGGAGTCTCTGCGGCTTGGGCAGTCCAGGGGAGATTGGGCGTTTCAGGAAGTGTCGAAAATTGGGCACTCCTTTCCAGGGAGTCTCTGGGGTTAGGCACTACAGGGAGCCTCTGGGTTGGGCACTCCACGGAGTCTCTGGTGTTGGGCACTCCGAGTCGTCTGGGGGGGCAACCCAAAAAGTCTATAAGTAGACCGGGCAAGGAGAAGAGTTCCGGGCGAGGAGAATGGTTGAGTTTCACATCCATCTTATAATCACAACCCCACACCGAAGGTGAGGAACTACAAGCCTTGCAAATGTCCTCCCTGCCGTGCGGGATGAAGGCCAAGATGTGGCCAGCACCCGCTCTTAGCCATGTATTCACACGGCAGAGCACTAGCAGGGAGACATGTGTGGCCCCTATCTTCGCAGAAGGGGAATATCCCGCAGCCTCGCTATCCATTCAGCAAGGACTGCTCTGCAGGGGCTGTACAACATCCAAGCGGCCAAGCAACGACGACACCCGACACCATTCAGACGAGACAAATGTCCTCCCTGCTGTGCGGGATGAAGGCCAAGATGTGGCCAGCACCCGCTCTTAGCCATGTATTGCACACGGCAGAGCACTAGCAAGGAGACATGTGTGTGGCCCCTATTTTCGCAGAAGGGGAATATCCCGCAGCCTTGCTATCCGTTCAGCAAGGACTGCTCTGCAGGGGCTTTCATGATCAACAACATCCAAGGTACAACGACACCAGACAAAAATGTCCTCCCTGCTGCGCGGGATGAAGGCCAAGATGTGGCCAGCACCCGCTCTTAGCCATGTATTGCACACGGCAGAGCATTATAGCAAGGAGACCTGTGTGTGGCCCCTATCTTCGCAGAAGGGGAATATCCCGCAGCCTTGCTATCTGTTCAGCAAGGACTGCTCTGCAGGGGCTGTCATGATCAACAACATCCAAGGTACAACGACACCAGACAAAAATGTCCTCCCTGCTGTGCGGGATGAAGGCCAAGATGTGGCCAGCACCCGCTCTTAGCCATGTATTCACACGGCAGAGCACTGGCAAGGAGGCATGTGTGTGGCCCCTATCTTCGCAGAAGGGGAATATCCCGCAGCCTTGCTATCTGTTCAGCAAGGACTGCTCTGCAGGGGCACTTGCATGCGACAAAACAAATTTTAAGGGCGGGAGACAGGGTAGACAATGGAGGGGCGGGGGGGGGGGGAGGCGCTTTGCAACGAAAGAACCCCTGAACCCGACACAGGGCGTACTTCAGACCCTAGACCCTGATCGGGCCCGTCCCGCCTCGTGCTGGTGCCGTGGAGCAGCGCTGCCGCCGCAGGTGGCACATTACAAATTAGAGGGTCAGATTCTTGGAATTGTGGTCTATGTGCAGGTTTTTGGTGGCCCTCCGAGGACTTAAGTCGGCAATCTACCAACACTAGGCAGATTTACATCTCGTGTCTTTCGATCGTCACATGATCTGAGCCCTTTCAGCAAGCGATCCCAGCACCACAAGAACATCGCTTCTGACCAAAGCTTCAAGTACTAGTTTTCCAAGAACTTACTTGAATAGAAGAACCAAGACATGCAAGACCTTAAAAATCGCGACTTGGATATATCCCTTGCCAGATTCCAGACTTGATGATCGAGTGTTCGTTTTTGGACTACTCTGGATCCTCAGGGTTGTGTTCCTGCCTTATACCATACAAATCGGGATAGCCATACTATGGGGCAGGATGCATAGTCAAGGAAGTGAAGGACTCTGGATCGTTTGTGCCTCGCCTGGCGTGGCCGAGCGTGACCGATTAAACTCTGATGCACTGGGTTGTTTCCCTTGAACCCTAAGTAACAAACCTAGACCCTGACATCGTTGACCGTCTCGAAACTGGGGAGCCCCCCCCTCCCCCCACCCCCAATCACCCCCTGATCCTCGGTGTGCTGGTGAGAGTCGAAACCCTCAATTCTCGAGCGTCTTAGCCCCGCACTGCGCCTATAAGCCCCTAAGAAGGAACATATGAATAAGCGCAACACTGACCCCCCCCAAAAAGAAAAACACATGAAGTCAATACATCCTGAAACCCTAGGAAACCCTTGGCATTTGATACAACAAACGCAAACCGCACCCAGGTTCTTCCTCCTCCTGGCGGCTGCGGGGCTCTTCCTTGTCGCTTCAGCGCGGTTCTTGGGGCGGCTGCTGCCGCGGAGGCGGGCGCGACTAGCTTTAGTGTGTTTGTTGGGGGCCTCGGGGGGGTTCAATGTTTTTTTGTTTTGTTGGGGGGGGGGGGGGGGTGTTGGGGTGTAAAGTTTAGGGTTTAGAGGGGAGGGGGTCAGTTAGGGTTTTTTTTGGGGGGGGGGCTATTGGAGTCGAGTTTTTTTTTTTGTCGGAGGCTTTGTGGCTTTCATGTGGCACGGCTGCCTACCCCGTTTCCCGCACAGGGGTAGTTCTTGAAATTAGGGTCCCTTCTAGCCCCTTCTGGGTCCCCTATATTAGTACGGCACCCTTAAACAGTACCCCAAAAGGGACCCTAATTTAGAGAACCACTCACCTTCTGCATGGGGTGCTATGCACCCAGCCCACAGTTGCATATTTCGTTGAAGCTCAAACCTCGAACCTGGAGCCCTACACTGAACCCTCTTACTCTGATTCAAGCCAGGCTCCTGAACCCCATAAGCCCTAGAACTCCGAAGTCCAAATCCCTAAACCTTAAACCCCCCCTGAGCCCCTAAAGCCTAAGACCCAAAACCCTCAAACCCTGAGCGCCCTAAACACCCTAAACTTCAAACCCTATCACTCTCAACTGCCCCGTCCGATGGAAGGGCAAGACCCTGGGCGGCTGTATTGGCCACGCTGGTCTCCCGGCTGCACTCGGCTCTCGTGTTGGGGTGCTTAGGGTGTTTGTTTGGGCGTTTCGGGTGTTAACCCTGAGGGTTTCGTTCTGCACTCGGTGGAAGCTAAACCCTAAGGCCCCCGCGGAGTGTTCAGAATCTCCAAGCCCTACTTGGAGGTACTCGTACCTAGAAGTAGGGTTTAGGGTGTAGGGTTTAGGGTTTAGGGTTTGGGGTTTAGGGCCTACTTCCAGGTACCCATACTCAAGCTTCAAGTGCACTCAGGTCACCGGCGCGGTCTTCCTTCTCTGGTGCCTCACGGACCTGGGCACTGCCGCGACTTTTCGGGACGAGCGGCCGCTGTGGTGGTTTCTGGGCTACATCCTGGAGCCGGCACACCGGAGGACGCCTATACCTGAAGGTTATAACCCATTTGGGTGCTTTTATGTAGGGTTATGTAAGTACCCCAAATGAGATCAGAACCATAGCTACCCACTTACAAATTCACTTACAAGTGCCCATGAACCTCCGAGTAGAGTGGTGCAGGAGTTGGGATGTGAACACGACTTGGAGCCCAAAATGTGCGGAGTTGACTTAGCCAGAAATAAGATGTTGGCGCTACAGGGGGGGGTACTTAAGGGATATAAGTATAGGGTATCTATGGTTATACATTCCGGTTATAGCTGAGATTTTTTAGGGTACTTAGAACCCTACGGTTAGGTACCCGCATGAGCCTCCAAGCCATACGCCAGGATGCTGCTCCTGCAGTGGCCGCTGCTCTTGATCGCTGGCGTGGTCGGCGCCGACCACCTCTCACGCAGGCATGCCGCCCCTTGAAACCTGAAAGAGTTGAGCCCCATGTCTCCCTGAAGTCCACAGTTTGTGTTTTTGTCGAGAGGGCGGGCAGGTGGGGTGGTGGGGGCGGGAGGTCGAGCCAGCCAAATGCCCTGCTGCTCTCGAGTTAGGGACACGACATCTGTGTTGCTGCTGAAGGAGTCCACCGCAATACCCCAAGATTTCCAGAGGCCCGGTGACCTCATACTTCGTTGTTTGGGCACCATATACTTCGGTTTTCTGGGAAGTCTAGGAAAGCCTGCGCCATACTTTGGGATGTTCCCCTTATACTAACAGTCCTGAATAGGGATTATAGTACCCCATCATAATCCTTATTAAGGGATTATAGTACCCCATTATAATCCTTCTTCAGGGGGATTATAGTACCCCATTATCATCCTTATGAAGGACTGTTAGAAGAAGGGGCAACATCCCGAGCCCTCCTAAACCCTAAACCCTAAACCCTAAACCCTAAACCCTAAACCCTAAACCCTAAACCCTAAACCCTAAACCCTAAAACCCTAAAACCCTTTAAACCCTAAACCCTAAACTCTTTCCATCTTGCGCAGGCTGGCAGCCAAGTCCAAAGGCTGCCCCTCGAACCGGGACAAGCACTTCGTGCGTCGCTGGTCGGCTCTGGGTCTATAGGGCTTTTTCCTAATATCTTAGGGTTTGGGGTTTAGGGTGCTTAGTAGCTGAATGAGTACATTTTGCACGTTTTAGGATACTGTAATCCCCTATAGAGCTGAAAGTGCACACTTTTCGGGGGCTTATGAACTCAGCAACTAAGAAGGGTATTGTATAACCCAATGTGTCCTAAGTACCTTTTTTGGGGACACTTACCCAAACCATAACATTAGATCCTATGATCGAAACCCTACTTTCTACTATGTAGCTTCCTAGGACCCTTTGGGTAAGTAGGGATACAATTACCCTGAATAAGGTTATATCCAGAGTTTCCCTACTTATCATCCTACTTGTGAGTACCCTAAGGAACCTTCACGGAGAGGGCTGCGAGTGTTGCTTTGATTTTGTTACAGGGCCGCAAGTTGTTGTGTGCTGCTCTTAGGGTCGGAACCTTGTAGTTATGCTGTACGAGGTGTTGGGAAATCATATGCGGAACGCCCGAGAGACAGCCAACCGTAAACCCATAATCGTGTGGTGTGGGTCACATGCCTGAGGTTGGTCGCCGACAGATTCCCTGAGCAAACCCGAAAACCATAAACCCTGTGCGAGAGTCAGCGACTAACCCCTAAACCAAGATACTCAGATTTGCCAGTCCCTCTCTAACTAAGAGGGTCCTTGGAGCCGTAAGGAAGGTAGACCCCAAGAGACCGTCGGGCTTTAGGGGTGTATCAAGCCCAAAAGAATGTAAGTTACTCATATAAGGCCCTGCACAGCTGTATTGGTAGATCTTTTTGGAAAGCAAGCCCCCGACTGTTTAAACCCTTTCAGGCAAGTCCTTCCACGCGCTGGCAATAGCCTTGTTTGCGCCACCCCTGTTTGAAGGCCGCGGGGATTTGGCCTTCAGGGGCAGTACGCAGAAATTATTCCTAGTGTCTTGCAGTTCAAGAACGTTCTATGAAGTATCGTCGGGTGAGTAAGGTACTTCAAGCTGTGATTCTGTTTGACTTGGCTGTCGTGGTATGAGCCCCTGCACTCACCCCCACGAAGCCCCAAAAGCCAGTTGACTGATGCGTTTCACCCAATACCCTGCAGCCAAACCGCTTCCCAAGCTCGGTCTACCCCGAATTTTACCAAACCCCAGCACACCACCTAAGGCTCAAAGAGACGCAGTGCCTGCGATTTTCAACCCAGGCCTCCATACGACTCTGAATACTTCTGGCAACTCTTTCGGGCCCTCTACAGGGCTGGCCTGGTTGCCCTTAGGATTGTGGGGTTTAGGGCTTCAACAGGCTTTAAAGCGACTTTACGGTTTTGGGCATAGGGCTTACCCCGCACATCCCCACAGTCCACATCCCACTATCCAAGACGCCGGGAATTGTGAGAAAAGTCGGAGGTCTGGCGCCTTTCCTCTCACTGTCGCTGCTGATCGCATCGCTGCTCTTCCTGGCGCTGGAGAGCGCATCTTCACCCTAAACCCTAAACCCTACTTGCATACTTTTGTGCCCTTGGGATCCCTAAATCCTCAAACCCTAAACAAAGCCATAATCGCGGTGGGTTAAGTTCCAGCGTTAGGCTTTCGGGGTGAAAGGGCCCCGGAGCATCCTCTGGGCTCGGGGGCATGAACTTTGGCTTTAGGCTCGGGGGCATGAACTTTGGCTTTGGGGTGCAGGGTTTGGGGTTTAGGACCCCGCGATGTTCCCCAAAATGCTTCGTCAACCCTTCTAAGCCTCTAGGGCTTATCAAGGGACTCGGGGGGAGACCCTCATAACGGCCTTGGGTTACTTAGGGGTTATTTGTGGGCTACTTAAGTATGTAGGGACTATATAAGAGAGAGAGAGAGAGAGAGAGAGAGAGAGAGAAAAAGAGAGAGAGAGAGACAGAGAGAGAGAGAGAGAGATATAGATGTATATACAGGGGTTATATATGGGAATAAGATTAAGGGTCCCTTCTAGGGGTCCCTTTTACCCCTGAACAGGAGGCCTGCCGCTTCCACCAAACGCCTGGCTTGGCACCGCTGCTGGACAGCCACTCGTCCGGCCAGTGAGGTACCTTTTTTTCTGCTTTCGGAGGGTCCCTCCCACCCTTTTTGGTCACATCCCGAAACTCTAAGCCCTAAACCCTAAACCCCGAACCCTAAACCCTCCAAAAAACCCTCCAAACACTCCAAACCCCAAACCCTAGTCTAGGCCCTAGTCTCCTTGTTTTGTCACGCCTCACCTCTGACAAGAACCATGGGAGCCTTGCCTGCCACGTAACCCTGCCAAAACCTTGGCATAAGGAACCCTAAACCCTAAACCCTAAACCCTATAAACCCTAAACCCTAGCCCTACACCCTAAAGCATAAACACCCTAAAGCCCTACAAGCCTACAGCTCAGCCTGCAGGCTACCTTGGCCAGCACCCTGGCGGTGGAAGAGCAGACCTGCAAAGCCGCGCATGGCTTGGGCTTGAGTTGTGGGGTTTAGGGTTTCGGGGTTGGGGTTTAGGGTTTAGGGTTTCGGGTTTAGGGTTTAGGGTTTAGGGTTTAGGGGCTCCGGTCCCCCAGCACGAAACTGGAGGTACCTAGACAAGCGCGAGGACATCGCACGTGGAGACCTAGCTCCTCGGACCTCTTGGGCCCCATGTGCTCCATGCGCCCACAGTAGCCAGTGGTGCAAGACTCCTTGTATAGAATCCTATGCAATAAACCCCAAACCCTAAACCCCAAGCCCTAGACCCCAAACCCCAAACCCTAAACCCTAAACCCTAAACCCCAAACCTCAAACCCCAAACCCCAAACCCCAAACCCCAAACCCCAAACCCCAAACCCTAAACCCTAAACCCAAACCCCATCCTAAGGTTCTGACCCACCTCTACCTGCTGCTCGGCTGTGCGCTGCCGATTTGGCTGGAGCGATCTCTGGACTCTCGGACCTTTCGGTTCCTCTACTGGGCTTTTAGGGTTCTTTGGGTGGTTTTGAGGACTTTTTGTGAAGGTGTTCAGGGGTTTCCGGTTTTTTCCGGGCTTTTAAGGGCTGTTTTTCGGGTGATTTTAAGGATGTTTCTCGGACCTTTGGGTTCCTTTGCTGGGCTTTTAGGGTTTTTTCGGGTGGTTTTGAGGACGTTTCTCGGACCTTTGGGTTCCTCTACTGGGCTTTGAGGGTTTTTTTCGGGTGATTTTAAGGACGTTTCTCGGACCATTGGGTTCCTTTAGGGGGGGCTTCTAGGGTTTTTCGGGTGGTTTTGAGGACTTTTTGTGAAGGTTTTCAGGGGTTAGGGTTTGGGTTTAGCCTAGTCTAGGGTAAGGTGTCTGAGACCGGCAAATGGGTTTAGGGTTTCTGCTTTGGGGGGGGGGGGGGGGGGGGGGCTGGAGTGGCTTTTGGCTTGCGGGTGGGGATTGTATGGGCTGGGTTTTGCTAACCCTAAACCCCAAACCCTCCTAAACCCTAAACCCTAAACCCTAAACCCTCCTAAGCCCTAAGCTCTAAGCCCTGCCCAGAGTGGCATTCTGGGGTCGTCAAGCCTTCGGCATGGGCAGCTTTCTGCAGGGCCAGATCGGGCTCAGCCCTAAACCCTAAACCCTAAACCCTAAACCCTAAACCCTAAACCCTAAACCCTAAACCCTAAACCCTAAACCCTAAACCCTAAACCCTAAACCCTAAACCCTAAACCCTAGCTAAGCCCTCTTTCCAGTGGGGATTGCTTCTTCAACCTTAAGCCGACACGCTTCGCGCAAAACCCTAAAGACCCTTAAAACCGACGTATTGGCCAACACACTTGAAAAAATAATGAATAAACATATATATATATATATATATATACATATATACATATATACATACATATATATATATATATGTATATTTATTTATATATAGGTAATTAGTCACAGTTATACATGTAACTTGTATAGCTTTTATAGCTGAAATTTATGTATGTTCACCTATATGCAACTTGTACAACTTCTGTAGCACAGTGGGAGGTCGAACCTCGATGCCCCGACGCTGGAGCAGCGCTGCGGCAGTGGGCGGGGCTTCTGCTGATTGGGGCTCCTGGGCACAGGAGTTTTTGGGGCTTTTGGGCTGGTGAGCTTAGGGTTTAGGGTTACCCTGTTTCCGGGGTCAGAAGAAGTATGTTTGGGGGGGGGGGGGGGGGAATGAATCGGAATAATCCAGGAACTACAACTGGGGCTGTAGGTTCTCCCCGAGCCTGTTGAGGTTGGCGACTCTTGCGCGGCCATTGTCGGCATCCTCTTCGGCAGGCTACTCGCCTTCAGAACTCTTCTGGACCTTCATGTTGCGCCTGCTGTAGTGTGCCCCCCTCCCCCCCTTCCCCCCTCCCAACCCTGAGGAGTCGAAGCTGAGTTGACCCCCTTGAAACGGTCCACGGGCTTTACAGTTGGGATGAGTTTTGTAACGATTAAAACGGACCTAGATAAGTTCGGGACCTGCCCTCAAGATTTCAAGAGGGCCTTTAATCCAAGAGGCCAGGGTTGAGGGCTTAGGGCCTAGGGTTTAGGAACACTTTACCCAAAGAGGCCCGGGGCCTTTCAACCAAGAGGCTCCTACACTTCGCCGGATTGGGTCGAGACAAACTAGGGTTCAGGGTTTAGGGTTTTGGACTATACTCTCAACTGCAAAATACTGAGCCGTTTCGGCTTCCGACCCCCGCCACAACGCACTCAGTCACGAATTCCTATAAGGCATCGCTGGCCCGGGTCCCACCGAACACTCGAGGGTTCCGCGGCTTTCGTGGTGGCGGTGCTCCTGGCTTCCGGGTGACCTGGAGGGTTTAGGGTTTGGGGTTTAGGGTTTAGGGGAAGATGAGGACGCCATTTCGAGTCGCACTGGCCACTCTATATGTACTCAAGAGACCTTCAAGGAGGTGAACAGAGAACCCGAAGCTGCGAATTGCTTAGCCCCCCAAAAATTAAAAACCTTCTTCCTTAGGGATTGTTATTGGCTTGTGTTTTTTGGGAGGTTCTTAAGCAAATAGCAAGCTGGGGCGACTGGGGATGTTCGGAGGCGTTGGAACAGGGTCATGCGAAGGCACATGGTCAGTTCTCCAAATGAGGGTCCCTTTTTGGTTACCCTGAATAAGAGGGGCCGCCCTATAATCAAGACCTCAAAAGGGGCAAACTGCAGAGGAAACAGCACATGATTACAAAGACAGAAGCAGCTTCGTCCTTAAACTATGCAGGCTCGCACATCAACGCCCTTAACCCACCAACGTGGAGCCCAAAACTCCGTTGATTGTGATGTTGCTTTGGGTTCGCTGTGTGAAGTGGTATTGTGTTGGCAAAGGGGTTCTTGACACCTAGTCTACAGTCGGGCGACGGGTTCGTCAAATACCTTGCAGTAGCCGGAGCACTGCTAGACGGGTGGCAAGATGAAACACGTCTGTCAAGATTCTCCTGGCATGAAGTTTCTTGAGCCACGTAAAGTCCTTTGCACCGTGAGCCCGTCAAAACATATGTGTATTCGAAGCAGGGTTATACTCAGTACCCCAAATAGGGTTTGAACCATACAAGCCCTACCTGTCACCCTACTTACAGGGTGGGGCCCCCTTACTATACTAACTGTAGTTAAGGGACTTAGAACCTAACTTAGGGTCCTTATAACCAAAATTTAGGGCCCTTATAACTCTACTTATAACTAGGGGGGCCCACCCTACTTATACGCAATTAAACGAACCCTGACATGCCAAGAAACCGCAGGTCCTTCCTCGCCGCCTCAGGGCACCGCCTCGCCAACCTGCCGCCGGCACTGCCTTCGCTTGTGGCGGCCACCATCCTCAGCGCACTGCTACTTGGGCTTATCGGGTTCTTAAGGGAGGGTGTCGGGTCTAGGGTTTAATTATATAGGGTTTAGGGTTTAGGGTTTAGGGTTTAGGGTTTAGGGTTTAGGGCTAGGGTTCGGGGGGGTTAGTAACCCAAGGTTCCCTAATGCCCCCCCAGTACTCCCTAAGGCTCCCGAAGCGTTCGTAAGGTTCCCTAGGTGCCCATACCCCTTGAACCCCCCTCCCTGAAGAACCCTATAACTTGGGTTACAACCCTAAACCCTAAACCCGCCTAGGAGCGCCCCTGGTTCCCAGGTTTTAGGCTTACTTGGAGGGTCAGAAGGGTACTTCTAGGGAGGGTTCGAAGTGCCCTAGAAAGAGATGTGAACGTAGTTGCCCGGGTTATAACCCTACTTATCAGTACAATTGAACCGCCAACTAGGGTCCCGAATCAAACGAACTTAAGCCGCTCTTTTTTGTGTTCTGTTCCTGGAACCTCGTGGGCTCACTGCGTTTTGGCTTCCCTCAAGTCCTTGACGCCCGGAAGCGCGGAAATGCCTGTTCAGGGTTTAGGGTTTGTAGGGTTTATAGGGTCTAGGGTTTAGGGTTTGGGGTTTGGGGTTTGGGATTTGGGGTTTGGGGTTTAGGGGTTCCTTCGTCGCTTCTGCCAAGGGGTTCTTTAAGCAATGCAGGGGCCTAGGCGATTTCCAATGTCCCGTGAGTACTCCCTTTGCATAGTCAGAATGTGCGGGGTTTAGAGTTGAGGGTTTAGGGTTAGGGTTTAGGGTTTAGGGTTTACAGGGTTTAGGGTTTAGGGTTTCGGGCTCCGGGCTTAAGGGCTTAAGGTTTAGGGAGTACACTATACAGAAAATGCCCATGTAATTCGATCCGCCCTAAACGACGGACAGGAATTGAGGCACCTTGATTATCCTTCGTGGGGAACTGTAGGCTTACTCTGCTCCGGGTTCCCTAGTTGCTCTCTCACTCATTTCATGGGTTCCCCTACTACCCCTCTATACTTCCCCCCCTTCTAGGTTCCCGCCATAGTTAAGGCTTTTTAGAGGTAGTTAAGCCTAAGTCAGGCAAACCCTAAACCCTAAACCCTAAACCCTAAACCCTAGACCCTAAACCCATGATCATTCTCTGCTGTGAGAAACCCATGTGTCTGTTGTTTGCACCTTGAGGGTTTGGGAGTTTAAGGCAGTCAGGGCCTGTTTTGAAAAAAAACGGGGTTTAGGGTTTAGGGTTTAGGGTTTAGGGTTTAGGGTTTAGGGTTTAGGGTTTAGGGTCCAACTATATGAAGACTGGGAGTTCACATCAAAAACCAGGGAGCCATGGGTCGGACCACTCGGATTCCGGATTTTCCAGTTGCACTCAGGCTGGAAGTCTACACTGAGAGCTCCTGGTCGTGGTTTAAGGGGCCTCTTTCTATTTCGGGTTCCAGGGGTTTGTTGGGGCTTAAGGTTTTGGGGCCTTAAGGGGCTTATGGGAATTTGCCAGGGCTTCGTTGGGGGGTTTGAGGGGGGTTTAGGGGCTTGAGCTTTTGTGGCCTGAAGGGCTATGGGAATTTTCACCGGCTTGTCAGGGGTTTGAGGGGTTTAGGGGCTTAGGGTTTAGGGTGAAGGGTTTGGGGCTTTAGTATAAGGGGCTTACATAGGGGGGTTTGACTCCCTAAACCCTCAAACCGTTTGAGGGTTTAGGACTTCAAATTTTCAGGGCTTGGCATGGGATTGCTGGGGTTTGGGGCTGGGTCTTCGTAGGCTCAGATATGCTGGAAAACTTCTTAGGGTTTAGGGTTTAGGGTTTAGGGTTTAGGGTTTAGGGTTTAGGGTTGACTTGAAATTACCCCAAGAGACCTCCCTGTCTGTGAACTGGCAAGTTCCCATTTTTCTGCTGAAGGGCCCAGGGTCTCTGGGAGGGGAGCGGGTTGAGGGGTTAGGGTTTAGGATGTAGGGTTTATTGGGTTTGTTTTTGTTGCAGCAGGTTTAGGGTTTGGAAGGAGGGGTGGGGGGGGTTGAAGTCGAAAGGGTGTCGGGTTTTAGGGTTACGACGCCTGATGCAAGTAGAAAGGGTTCAAGGTTTGGATAGGTCAGGGACTGCCTTGCAATCTCTACAAGCGTTTAGGGGTTTGCGGCCAACAAACAGCAAAGTCGGGCTGGCATGGTCTGCACCTTACAGATAGGTCAAGGGTTGGGGGCGAGGCGGATTACTAGACACAGGCATCAGGCTTTCGGTTAGTGTCTCAACAGAGTTTAGGAATGTGGGAGTTCAGTCTGTCTTTGTAGTTTCACGTATGGAATGCTAGGCAGGCCACAGGCACATTTCATGGGTTGGAACTAAGTCGAAAGGCCAGGAACATTTGACCGCAAACTGCTCTCTTTGAGAAAGGAGCGAGTTGCGCTGTTCATTGAGAGAAGCAAGTATTCAGAGCTGAGACTCACTATGTCTAGTAGACCCTAACCCTAAACCCCAAACCCTAAGTCACCTTCCAGAGTGAGGCTTTGACAACTTGGTCTTGCCTCTCTTCTTCTGCCCCTTGCTGAAGTCGCTGCAGGCGCGGTTCTAGCCTCTGGCGTTTCACTTCCGAAAGCATCGTGAAGCCTTGTGCGGAAACCCTGAAGTGCCAACCTCCGAACCCCTAAAGCGGTTTAGGGTTTAGGGTTCAGGGTTCAGGGTTTGGGTCAGCAACCTACATCTACTAGATGTAGGTTTGGGATTCTGAAGGTAAAACCCCCCCCCCCCACAGCCGACATTCCTGTTTGGGTGGAGGGCGCCACGCACCACAGGAAGGAGAAAAGCAGCCATCACTAGGAGACATCATGGCTCCGGCTTTGGATTTGGCTGTAGGGTTTTAGGGTTTAGTTTAAGTTTTTTTTTTTTTTGGGGGGGGGTTAGGGCTTAGGGCATATATGCTTGGAGAGGAAAATGGGCCTCTGGTTCTCTGAGGCGAGGGAGTTTCGGAGGGGCGGTTCAGCGCTTCAGTACTTCTGTGCAGAAAATCGAATGTACTAATACCCTAATATAGGTAAAATTATCGTACAGAAATGTATTCTACAATGCAAAAGAATAATTACTAATATCAAAACAAACTATAGTAATGTGGAAAGCAATAACTAACACAGTGTCTTCCATGAGGAAATGTGCAGCAGACCCCAAACCCAACTTGACCTTGTTAAAGATTCCCGTGCACTGAATCCAAAGTGTCGCGATCTTTTGACCAAATGCGTGACGCACACAAAACTGCCTGCACCCGACACCAATGGACCAACCGTGTGGATCCCTAAGCCTACAGCTTAATTCAAGATGATGTGCAAGCAGCTCAGCCCCCACTCACAACCCGAGACCCCGCCCAGCCCCAACAAAAAGCCCAGAAGCATCCTCAAAACACTCAACCCACAGCCCCCTAAAGCCCCCCTAAAGCCCCCGTAAAGCCCTTCCTAAAGCCCTTCCTAAAGCCCCCTAAAGCCCCCTAAAGCCCCGCCCCTGAAGTACCTTCTAAAGCCCCTCGGCCCCAACGACCCCTCGATGCTCCGCGCCTGCGGGGCTCCCTGCTGGCCTTCGGCTGCATCCTCGTCCCTGAGAGCGCGGCACCCTGCGACTTGGTCCAATTCTGGGTGCCATGGGAAGGGTTTAGGGTATTGGGGTTTAGGGTTTAGGGTTCAGGGTTCAGGGTTCAGGGTTCAGGGTTTAGGGTTTAGGTGTTAGGGTAGTCCAGTGGCAGAAAGGGTTTCGGTTAAGCGACCACTATGCCACCCTTCGGGCCTTCGGGTTGAGGGCCGTGGCGAAGGGACAACCGGTTGCACTGGGCCTTCTAGCGACTCGTGTCGCCGATACTTGGAGGTTCATGGGAATCTAGAAGTAGGGTTACGCTTAGGGTAACTACGCTTGAAAACTCGTGTTTAGGGTACTTCTAGTCATCATCCTACTTATCAGTACCCAAATGAACATGAAAGTATAGATAGCTCCCTCGGAGCCACCGGCTCCTACTTTTAAGAAAGACATCCCTTAGCGGCCTAGGTAGGATAAGGGGGACCCAGATTCTTCTTAAACAAGGACCTTATTGAGAGGGTCTATAGCATAAGGGGGGCCCTTGAAAGGGAACCCGTCTGAACCCTCTTATGGCTGTCTATAGCCCCAAAGGTGCCCCGAATCCTATTTGCCAGAGCTGCGGCTCCTATTTTCTGGTGGGTTGCCGGAGTGGTGCCCTTCACCCTTTCTTTTTTGGGTTCTGAGTTCCCTCCTAGAAGCAACCTAAACCCTACCCTAAACCTTAACTTTTGTTTGCCTCCTCTTCGTCGGCCATAGAAATCCCTCCGCCCCCCACCCAGGAAAACTTCAGTTGGGTCCTGCTTTGCGAGTGTGTGTTTAGGGTTTAAGGTTTAGGGTTTAGGAGGGGGTTCAGGGTTTGGGGTTTAGGGTTTAGGGTTTGGGGTCTGAGATGTTCCCAAGTGGTGAAGCAAAGGCCGCCAGCTTTGTGCGGGATTGGCGGCGAGGCCAGCGCCGGGGGGGACTGGCATTCGGGGCTTCAGGGGCTCAGGGTGTGTAGGCTTTGTGGTTAAGGGGTAGAAGGAGGGACAGAAGGGACCCTGAATCTTACTAACCCTATATACATACCTAAGTATCCTCTAAATAGCCCCCCAAAGAACCCCTAAGGCCCCTTACAAGGGTCCCGCCTTTCGCCCCTTAATATAGGATTAGGGGTCCGGCAGCCGAAGAGAACCCAGATGCAAAAGGGTCTCGGGGTCCAGTTCTATCCTGGGGCGTAGCATGGTTTGAGTACAAGTCTTGTTGTGAGTGTGAGTGGGTAGCTGATACACATCTTCCATCAATTGTCATGACCGCTTGAATTGAAATACAGATGCAGGCGCCCAGCCCCCTATACCCTAAACCCTAAACCCTAAACCCTAAACCCTAAACCCTAACTGCCCCCCTCTCCGTCGCCCGCAAGGTGCCTCGAGGTCGCTTGGGCCTGCGAAGCTCTTCGACTCCACTGAGGCCGAACTTGCCAAGATACGCCCTCAAACCCTCAAGTTCCTGACAGATCCTACTCATGGCATATGACCGGTTCTCTGCATTCGGGCACCCTAAACCCTACTCCTTATAGTTAGAGAAGGCTCCTTATCCTTGGGGACCACATGAACCCGCTTAGGGTTTAGGGTTTAGGGTTCTTGGTTCATAATTCTCATAGTTCCTTAAAAGAAATTATTGGTAGTGTAGTTTGTATGCCCCGAGTTGCAGGGTTCATTTGGCTCCCCAAGGTACTTGGAGGTTCATGGCACTTCTAAGGTTTAGAGTTTAGTGTTGTCTTATTTAGGGTCCTACACGACCCTATACTTGTAAGTACCCTTACACTTGAACGTTAAACCTTACTTATGAGTACCCAGATGAACCTTACCGAAGGATGAGGTTTGGGACGTTCCCCCTTACACTAACAGCCCTTAATTGGGTTTTAGGGGGTACCAGAGAATTTTTACGAAGGAGTGCTAGTATACGGGTGAACATGACAAGATCAGGGGGTTCATCATGTCGAGCACTACCTCACACTTCGTGTTCAGCTCCCCAGGAGCTCCTGGCGGAGGTCGGAGAGCGACCTGGCAGCGCGTTGAAGTAAACCCAAAACCCAAAACCCAAAACCCAAAACCCAAAACCCAAAACCCTCAACCCTCAACCCTCAACCCTAGCCCTAAACCCTAGACGGAGTTGTAAGTACCCTGAACTCCCAAGTAGCGTGTGAGCGGGGGCATCGCTTCTAAACCAGCGAACCCGTAATCCACTGCGCCCCTGAGTCGCTAGTATACAGGAAACTATAGCACCCTTAGCCAGGGGAAGATTCTGGATAGAGATTTTGTTATGCAGGTTCTAAGGGGAGTAAAGGAAAAGACCGTGCAGAAGCCCCGGGATCTTTGAACTCAGCAAGAGTGGTGTCGAATGTGCAGCCGTGTCTGGAGCGAAGCGTTCTTGCGCGGGTCCGTCGATTTGTGAAATCTGTCGCCATGTGGTGCGTCCTTTTGTCTATGCTGATGGCAGTTCATGCGCTTCGGGACATTCAAGGCTCTGCCGATCTCAGTGCAGAGTCTACGAACGGTTTGCAAAAGACTTCGGAAGTTTCAGGCGGTGATGGCATCTCGGGAGGTCCTTGGGACATGTTGTGTTTTCCCTTCTTGTGTTAAAGAGGCTCATATTGAGGGCTATTGCTCAGAGTTTTCCCTTATTGGGTTTAAGAGGATCATGTTGAGGGACATATTTTTAGAGGGTGATTATTACCATCCGAGGCATGTGTCAGGCCAAGCCGGGGCATGAAGCACTCGGGGGCTCGTGCGGCCTCCTCCAGGAGGAGGGGAGTTGCAACATGCAGTTTGTCTGCCGCTGGGTGCTTCCAACGATTCTTCCCGGGCATTGCGAGGGCAAAGCGTCACAACCCCATCACAAGATGCTATGTGATGGCCTGAAGTATGACAAGTTCGTGTGTGAGTCTCAAACCTTGTTTTGCGACTGGATTCCGGAAAAGAAGGTCTACGGCAATGCTGGGTCCACCGTCAGTTCGGGTTCCTCAGGCCCTGGGGGTGATGGCATGTGCAAGGCCAAGCCCGGACACGAAGCTCATGGGAGAACCTGCGGATTTTTGAAGGAGCAGAACAGTTGCGACCTGCAGTTTATCTGTCAGTGGACACTACCAAGGGTGATTCGCGCACACTGTGAGGGCAAGAGTTCGCAACCCCATCATAAGATGCTTTGTGACGGCCTGAAGTATGACAAGTTCGTGTGCGAGTCTCAAACCTTGTTTTGCGATTGGATCCCAGAGCAGAAGGTTTACGACTGAGATCTGAGACGCAGCGCAAAACTGGAGCGCACGAGAAGTCCGATTGCTGCTAGTACTGCTACTACTACCACTAGTCACTAGTGGTGATTTGCAGAATGATAATGCTGCTGCTGCTGCCGCCAATGCTAGTTCTCCTACCACTACTCTTACTATGCCTCTTCTTATAACTGCTATTGCACTACTTCGTAGGACTAGTTGCAATACTAATATACTGCCCTACTATTCCTGCTATACATACTACGAGGACGACTGCTACTACTGCTGCTACTACTACTGCTACTGCTACTACTCCTGCTGTCCCTACTACCGCTACTGCCACCACCGCCCCGACACCTTCGCGCTTTAAGTGTACAGCTCGCAGACATCAACAGTCTGCAGACATCCTACTGCTACTACTAGCACTGCTGCCACCGCCGTTGCTTCGAGTGCTGTCTCCACTGATACGATCACCACCACCGCCGCAGTTAGCACCAGCACCCCCATCATGATACCCAAAACACTAAACCGCTTCTTCCTCGATTGAGCTTGTAGCTGTAGCTTGGTGCTTCGTCTGCACTTGGAGGTCTATGGGTGCTGATAAGCAGGGTTTGAAGCTGGATACTTGGGAGGGCTTTCAGGGGGCTTTGGAGATATGGGGATTGGCGAAAACAGGGGACTCCTCAAATAGACCCCAAATGGTAGGATCCCCTCTTAATAAGGACCTAACAAGGTACCCCTAGTATCGTAAGCCCCCACATCATCGTTGTCGGCTTTCCTGTGCAACAAGGTTTGCGTGATTTTGCAGCACAGACCAATTTCCGATGCCCCTGTTTTCCTCAACCCCCCACTCTTAGGCCATCCCGAGAGAGTCCACGAACCCTGGTGCTGCTCCACGGCGTGCGCTTCGCGCCCAATGTGGGCGCCAGCTTGCGCCACCGAGCTGAGACGCAGAGAGAGCCAGGGGTTTCGAGGGTTTCGAGGTTGGCCCTTAAAGTTTACCAGGAAGCCTAAGCCCGTTTCAGGGTCGTCCTCAACTCTAAACTAAACTACTGCCTGCCACCCCCCCCACACTCAGGTGCTGGCCACCTACTGGGCGCCGAGGCATTGCCTCCCTCCCTCCCCACTCCCTCCTTGCTCCCTTGGTTGAGGGTTCAATATAGGGGTCGGAATAGCTACAAATAATGTTCCCTGAGGGTCCCTTTGTAATCAAAATATAGCAAACCCCCGAAACCCAATTCTAATTGTTCAGGCCCATTAGGGTCCCCGAATCCCTCAACTCCCCCTTTTTTCGGAACGCTTCAGCGTTTGGGGCTTCAGGGCTCTCCTGCTTGTCAGGCCGCGTAACCTTTCTTGGAAATACAGAGTAACCATCACAACGATCATGATGTCCCATTCCTCCATGCCCGATGCGAAGCAACAGAAGGGTTTCGGTGGCAGGTCCTTGGGGACCAAATGAACCCCAAAAGGGTTTATGGTTCATATTACCTTCGTAGTATACAGTATAGGGTATATGACCCCAATTTTAGGGTTCATGCGGTCCTTAGAAGACTCCTTCTATTTATATAACAGAAGCTACCCAAAACCATTCTAATCAAATAGGCGCCCCCCATCATAGCGTCGCTGGAGCTCGAGGGCTTCTTGGACTTCATGCGCAGCTCAACCCCACGTCGGACCCAACAGCCGAACGCCTCAAGCCCGCAAACCTTTCCAGACAAGCCTGCAGCCCGCAAGCGCACTCAAGTCCTAAACCCAGAACCCTAAAGCCTATGCCCCCTATGCTTTAACAACGGGATTAGGGTACTGTTGGACCTGAATGTGGTCCCTTGCCTTCTTTTAAAAAGGGTTCTGAAGTATGGGCCCTGGGGTCTGATAGTGTATACAAGGCGTATACAAGGGTTCGCAAATTCGGGGGCCCAAGTAAATGTCAGCATTCCCAAATTAGCGGCCCATGTTAAGTGAGCATGTCGCCACCCTTAGATTATGTGTCATCTGAACAATTTCACCAGCGACGGCCCCCCCAAACTGCTAGGAACCCTTACAGGAAACTGTTTGGGGAAAGAGCAAGACACCGCAACGGTCCCCCCGAAAAGACTTCACTTTAACCCCTGAACCCTATAAAACCGACATGAGGGCTGCCTCATCGCCGGGGGTGTCGCCGAGTCCAAGCAGCGCAAGCCCTCACCATTGGAGGAGGCAGGGACAGCGAGGAGGATCGGCCGTGTCGATGTTTGCAGGATTTGGGGGTACCTTGTTTGTTTTGGCCTTGCCCTGTTGTACTAACTCCCACCTAAAACCCTACAGCCCCGGAAAACCTCGCAAGACTTCCAAACCCTTAGGCTAAAAACACCCAAAAACCTTATACAAGACGGCCTTCGGGCCCAACAGCCCTAAAACAAGAGGCCTTAGAACTTTAGGGAAAGAAGGTGGGTTTTTGTTCAGTTTTCAGCTTGCATGGTTTAGGGTTCCAGGTATCGGCCTATCGGGTTTTGGGCTTGCATGCGGGGTGCCTTTGATATTCTTTATAGACGACTGAAAGCTTCTCGATACTTCGCGAATGCCATTCCCTGTCAGTGACCCTAATGAAGCACAGTACCTCGAATTAAACCCTAAAGCCTGAAACCCTGAACCCAATAGTATCACCTGGAGAAGCAAGGTCTGCTTAGTGGTAGATGCTAGTGTCATTGAGCACTCAATCAGGGTATATGCCTCGCCTGGCTTGTCCGAGCCTGAGCGATGAAACTCGAAAACTCTAAAACCATAAACCCTAAACCCTAAAACCCTAAAATCCTAAACCCTAAAACCCTAAAACCCTAACTCCCTAACACCCTAACCCCTAACACCCTAACACCCTAAACCCCTAAACCCCAAACCCCTCAACCCCTTAAGTGCCCTGCCAAAAGAAGAGGCCGTCCGAATCTCGATGGCGGCTCGGCACGGCTGGCCCCTTCGTGTGGCAGCCCTCCCGCTGCTGGACAGCGCCCAGGCAGTGCAGGTGCCAGTAGACTTCGCAGAGGCCCCAAACCCTCAACCCCCCAGAAACCCGGCACGCCACATGGCACATATTTTTCGCCCAGAAGCCCAAAAAACCCTGCAGAAACCTAGGCCCACCCGCCCACCCGCACACCCCCCGACCCCCACACTCGAAGCCAGGTTTGCACGCAGCATGGGTACCTGCCTGTTTGTGCCACCTGGCCGGGTGTAGGGCTTAGGGCTTAGGGTTTAGGGTTTAGGGTTTAGGGTGTAGGGTGTAGGGTTTAGGGTTTAGGGTTTAGGCTTTAGGGTGTAGGGTTTAGGGTTTAGGGTTTAGCGTAGGGGCTGCAGGGTTTCGAGGGTCAGACAAGACCCACCGGGGCGGCCCTGAGTCCCCTTTTTGTTTTTGAGGGTTTAGGTTCCCTTACAAAGACTTTAGGGCTTAGGGTTTAGGGTTTTAGGGTTTAGGGTTTAGGGTTTAGGGTTTAGGGTTTAGGGTTCAGGGTTTAGGGTTTAGGGTTTAGGGTTTAGGGTTTAGGGTTTTAAACCGGAAGGGGTGCTCTTTTTTTATTTTGAGCTTTGGTCTAGACGTTTTATAGGGTTGACGTTTTAGAGGGTGCGTCTGGGAGTTTGGGTTCGTGGTGAGGGTACCCCGAGACACTCCAAATCACTTTCAGGCCTCTAGCTTGGAATGTTCCCCCTTGGGTTTGGGGTTTAGGGCTTAAAGTTTAAGGTTTAGGGTTTAGGGTAGTAGAAGGGGGAACATCCCAACCTCTGGTGCTGAAACAGAACCCCCCCCCCCCTTCCCCTTGATCCCAACTCGAAGCTACACTAGGTGTGGTTGAGGTTTTGAGCTTTTTTTTCGGTGTTGAGTGATTTCGAGGAGGACTTCGGGTTGCGGGTTGGGTTGTTTTAGACTCAAACGGCTTCAAACTTGCACCCCCTAAGGTCGTAACCCGAAAGGTCCCCTCAATGTACTTCTAACATGGCGGTGTTAGGGTTTAGGGTCAAGGGTTTAGGGTTAGATGGCCCTTAATATTTCCTTAGAGGATCTAAAAAAGGGGCCCCCAAACCCAAGGGTACAACCTTCGGGGTCCGTAGAGTTTTTAGACAGGCTCGAAACCCGAACCGAAACGCCCTAAACCCGAAACCCCAAACCAAAAACACCCTAAACCCCAAACCCTAAACCCTAAACCCTAAACAAACCCTAAACCCTGAACGAGGTCGAGAACGACACCGCAGGTCTGTCAAATCCTCCCCTGCCGGCGGAAGATCTGGATCTCACAGTGCTCCGCCCCCACGTATTTTTTTTTGTTTGTTTGTCTCATGTTATTCTAGGATCTATAGGGTTTAATTAGGGTTTAGGGTTTAGTTTCTTGTTTGGCTCATGTTGCCTATTGTAGGACTTATATAGGGTTGTGTCTGCTTTTCAGTTTGGGGGTTGGGGAGTGTAGAGCCTCAACGTCCCTTAATTGAGGAAATTCACCTTCAAACCCTAACCGAACTGCAGGATTCCTTTCTTGCGGCGCCTACAATTTCTACTAAAGGCTCAGCAACCATAGAAAATAATAGATTAATCTCCATATTGCCCTTGAAAGGCATCAAAGAAGTTGTTGTTGCGGCGTTCTTAAGCCAACCCGTCCAAAACCCTAACCCGCCCCCTCCATTGCAGAACAAGAAAACTGGGCATCACCGAAAGGTGGAATCGCCTTCCAGGTACTTATGATATAGGTATAGGTTTGGGGTTTAGGGTTTCGGGTTTAGCGTTTAGGGTTTAGGGTTTAGGGTTAGGGATCCAGGTGTACAAAAGGGGCATCCCAAGCCTAAGCGCCCTGAAGCAAGCCTCGAGCCCTGATCACACCTGCACCCCGGCCTACTGGGAAGCCCCAAGCACTCCCAGCTCCCAACCCCCATCTAAGCCCCAGCCCCTCAACGCCCTAAACCCTAAACCCTAAACCCTAAACCCTAAACCCTAAACCCTAAACCCTAAACCCCAAACCCCGCCAGCAAGTAGCAGCAGCCTTCATTCCCCAAACCCTATACATTGGGAA